TCCTCACTCTTGGCTTGATCCTATTCCCAGCTAGGGGCACAGCGGGAGTACTCTGGGTTCGGGCCAAATTTCTGAGCTCGGAGCCATCTCCCCTCGAACAGCACGCCAAACATGCATAACCTTTACTCTGTCTGATCATGTGTAAGTGTGAACTCGTGAAATTAGTATATGAGCCCTGCAATTAAACCTGTGTTAGCGGCGGCCCTTATTCCCACAGTCCTGCATAATCAAACCTTCAGCCCTGACATTTATAATAACCCCGAGAGGCTTGTTTGTTTGTGTATGTATGTATGTATGTGTGTCAGCTGCCAGTGTTTTTTAATCCATAGGAGTTCATTAGAGAACATGGGTGAGGTGTGCGTAAAGAGAGAGAGATGAATGCAAGGAAAAAGAACAAGTGCAAGAAAGTTGCAGAGAAAAGAATGCAATGCAACTGACCTTAACGTCTATAAAACGGTCTAAAGAAAAGCAGTTCAATAAGGTTTACAATAGTAAACATGAACTAAGAACGAACAATACTTCTACAGCATTTATTAATCTTAGCTAATGTTAATTTTAACATTTACTAATGCATTATTAAAATCAAAAGTTGTGCTTGTTAATATTAGTTAATGCACTGTGAATTAACCTGAACTAACAATGAACGACTGTATTTTCATTAACTAACATTAACAAAGATTCATAAATACTGTAATAAATGTATTGTTCGTTGTTTGTTTATGTGAGTAAATACATTAACTAACATTAACTAATGGAATCTTACTGCAAAGTGTTACCCAATTCTGTTTTTGTAACATTAATTTCTTCTTTTTTTAAATGTAATTTATTACAAAAAATAAAAACAACAGTCAATATACCAATTTAGGTCTCAAGGATGTGTTTCTTAAAGGGTTACCCTTGTGAAAAAAAAGAAGTGTGCTTATTTGCACTTGTAGTGTACTTCAAATCCTAAGAATATATATAAAAAAAAAAAACTGTAATTATAGATAATTTTAAAGAAATAAAAATATTTAAAAAAAATTATAAATAGAAATAAAAATAAATAAAAGGTAAAAATAAAGTTTTATTTTACATTTTAAATAATCTTTTTTCCTGCTTAAAATAGTTATTTTGATGTGTTGACTAACATACTAAAGCACATGATATAAATTTGAACTGTAATGTATTCAATATTACATTTGAAGTTAATATATTATTAAATGTTTTGCAAATTGCATTGCACCAAAATCTTCATTACAAATATATTACACACAAGTTTCAATAGAAATTACATTAAAGTACATTTTAGTTTAGCTTGTCAGTACATTCAGCAGCAGTACAGTTTAACCATATTTCATAGACAAAGTAATTCTGAAATTACATATAAAGATGTACTTAAGTCCTATATAAGTGGGCCACACTCTAAAGTTCAACTAACTGCATTTAATATCAATTTAAACTATATTCATTTAATTGTAAATAACATGCAAGGAAGTGAATTCAGTTCACACGCAAGAATATTATTTTTGTAATAAATACTCTTTTTAAAAGTATGCTTGTGTACTGCTTTTTCAAAAGGGTACGTTACACAAAACACGCCAGCGGTTCTCACTTTATTGCCAAGATTTGTATGCGAGCGAAGGTTATGCTAATAACGATAATCCAGTGAACTGTTCATTAAAATGATGCAAATTTAGTTTTTTTTTTTTTTGACCGATTCATTTTAAAAACAGCTAATTTCTCTGTGAATCTGCACTGGTTTAGCTGTACGCCTGTTTTTGTGTGAAGACAATGCAATATATAGGTTTTGGGTTTTCATTTGCAGTGTCTGGTCATTTTAGCTCTTTCACAGCTCGGGTAAAATCTGAATGTTTTGCTGTGGTGTCGGAGATTGAGCAGCACAGGACACTTCTATTCTGTATCTACACACTCTTCTGAGCTGAATGATGAGGATGCCTCAAAGGTCAAATATTATCGGTACATTAACTAAACAGAACTGCAATACAGGAAGAGAAAAGTGATTATGGCATAAATTAAAGAAGAAACAAAGCTGAAAACTGCTCGAGCGGCTCTGGCAGGAAACCCAATAATAATAGCAGTAAATATAATTGCATGCAAATGGATATATTATGGTTAGATAGGGATCTATTTTTTCTATTAATAAGTTAATAAAAGTAATTATTGGCACATGGATTGATTACTTTGTTTTGAAAACACAGTCTGGTCTTGAGCTGGTATTATGTAACGTCTGCATGTGTAATATATTCTTTGAGAGATTGTCAAGCAGAGATAGGATGTCAGCGATGCAGCGCAGGGTTCAAGACTGATTGTGTTATCATACTGACGACATCAAATATCAGACGGTCATGGGATCCTTTATGGCTACAGCAACCCCAAAATCATTGAGAGACTCTTCTTACGTAAGAGTAGACCATTTGCCTGGTCAAGGGGTCAAGGATTGAGCGGTTAAGATGGTCTGTTAACCCCTTGTTGGTGAATGCTTTAAAGGAATAGTTCACCCATAAATGAAAAATTGCTGAAAATATGCTCACCCTTTCTTCATCAGATTTGGAGAAATGTAGCATTGCATCAGTGTCTCAGCAATGGATGCTCTGCAGTGAATGGGTGCCGTCAGAATGAGAGTCCAAACAGCTGATAAAAACATCACAATAATCCACAAGTTGAGAAAATCATCTTTAAAGTTGTTCAAATGAAGTTCTTAGCAATGCATATTACTAATCAAAAATTAAGTTTTGATATATTTAAGGTAGGAAATTTACAACATATCTTCATGGAACATGATCTTTACTGAATATCCTAATGATTTTTGGCATAAAATATTTTTTTTTAAATTTTGACCCATACAATGTATTGTTGGCTATTGCTACAAATATACCCCAGCGACTTAAGACTGCTTTTGTGCTCCAGGGACACATATTATTCAAAACAATAATTTACAGTAAATGTTTACATCTGGAATCATCCCCATCCACAGTTTACCATCCAAGAGTTTTCAGTGTCAACGTGGATCAGGAATCTGAAAACGAGTCCATCTTTATTTGTGCTTGCAGCGCTGGCTCCTCTGCCGATAGATCTCCTCCGTGAACGGTCTGCAAACATGAGAAGGTGAGCACAAACACAGATTGTAAATCTCAAGAGCAGCGCGGCGTACCAGCCTGTGCCTGGCTCCTGCGTGAGAGAGAGACGCTTGCCATAAATAGGGCAGAAAATAGGGCCTTAGTCACTGATGACACAACCGATCGTCAGTCAAATGAGGTCCGTGACCTTCAGAAAATGTTAAGAAAACATATGAGCAGTTTTACTAAGTGCTCAAACTAAATTTGGGACATACTAGTTTAAATACAACTGCAGTCATTAACTTAAAATGTCAAAATTCAACACATTATTTAAAAAAAAATAAAATAAAGGAAATAAAAATGAAAATAAAATAATAAAATTAAATCAAAAGTGATGTAGAAAGGTCCAAATGACACTACTACTACAACAACTACTACTAACAAATTAAAATGTAATATTAAAATTTAAAATTGATATTAAATAAATTATTTACTAATAAAATAAATAACAAATTTAAAACTTCTAAACACATTATTAACAATTTAAAATTTTATATTAAATGGGCTAAAAGATAAAATAAATAAAAAATATACATATTCAAAATTAAACACATTATTTAAAAGCAAAATAATATTTTAAATAAATACAATTAAATAAAACAGTGATGCAGAGAGGTTCAGTTGATGGAACAACCAGGGTGTCACAATTTTAACAATTAGCAAACATTAACTCCAAAACCAGAGACATTATTTTAAAATAAAATAAAATAAATAATAAAATAAAATAAAATGATTAAAAAAAAAAATAATAAAAAAAATAAACTAAACTAAACTAAACAAAAAAAAAAAAAAGTGCCC